TCTTCCGGTTCTTGATAACTGAAATGAACCTTGTACTGTTTCTGCGGACGACCCCTACCTCCAGTTCTGAAGACATCTTCAGCCACTGTACCATCGATGTCATATCTCCCATCCATATCCGGTGGGATCATTGATCTACGGGATGGACTGATCACTTGTCTGACAAGGTAACAACTTCGATGCATGGAAAACTGGGTAAGTGTGGAGGTGTGCTGGAAGTTCTATGGTATAGGACGGTCCATCTTCGCCGCCCTTGACTTCTAGAACGGGCCACAGTTCTCTATATGTGGGCAGTAACTTCTACGAGATGTTCTCCTCAGGTGCAAACTCCTTAGAACTGACCTAGACTAAGTCGCCTACCTGAAACTGTGAAGGGCGACGATGTTTGTTCGCTTGCTGTATCATCCTATGCTGGGATTTCCTGAGGTTCTCTACAACAGTAGCTAGTTCTTTCTCGTGCTGTACGACAAACTCCCTGGTCCCGGGCGACAATCTGCAAATCTGATCCTGGTCCCGGTTAAGTCGTTCAAACAGTCGCGCGGTCTAAAGGACTTGTGCAGTTCGTTGGGAGTGCGGCATGTAGACAGATGAACGTTGTTATTGTACGCACTAGCTACTTTGGGCAACATCTCATCCCAGTTAATTTGATCTGGCCTAATGTACATGCGCAGAACTTGCTGAAGGATCTTGTTCATCTGCTCGGTCTCACCGTTAGTATCTGGAGGACGGTCGGACGACATCAACAATCTAGATCCATATACTCCCACGAGTTCTTGCCAGTTCTGGCTAGTAAAGCGACTATCTCTATCGCTAACTATAGACAGTGGGATTCCATTCTCACTCACCCAACAGTCAAAAAATCTCTGTATGACTAAATTAGTACGTGCCTCTGAAGGCAAAGGAACAAAAACTGCGTACTTACTAAAACGGTCAACTATGACCATGACTTGGCTCTTACCATGCCTACTCTTGACTTGAGTGTCCATGACGTCGATGGACACCGAGTCCCCCGGCTGGTCCGGAATGGGCAAGGGTCTGAGAAGACCTAGCGGGGCGGGTGTAGAACTCTTGCTGCGCTGGCAAACCTTACAACTGCGAACATACTCTACGCAGTCATTCTTCATCCCGGCTAGGTATACGCATGCATCAGATTGGCTAAAGTCTTTTGCCAACCAAAATGACCCTTCGTGTCGTGGCATTCCCCCAAAATCAGGCTACGGATCTCTTCGCTATTGGGGATGCACAGCCGGTCAAAAACATTAGTCTTCTCAAAAAGCAACCCCTCAGTAGTGCAGTAGTTCGGTTCAGTCTCTGGGGCCTCCTTGACCTTCTTGAGGAGGTCACTGTAGATAGGGTCCTGTGCATAGGCTTCTCTAATTTTCTGCTGCAGGTCCTTCCCTATGTCTAAATAGTGTACGATTGCCCCAAAGTAATCAACTCTTCTACTCAGAGCATCCGCGACTACGTTGTACTTCCCTTTGACAGGCTTGAGCTCGAAGTCGTACTGATCTATCTCTGCGGCCCACCTAGTAAGCTTAGGTGTCATCTTGGCCTGCGTCTTTAACCATCGTAACGTTTCATGGTCGGAATAGACTTTCTGCGCCCATGCCGTATTGACTCCCATCGGTCGTGACGACAAAGGGCAAGGACGGATCGACGACTTTAAGGACTGGATACTCTATCAATGCCAGCTTTAACTTCTTCATGGCAGACGTGCAGTCCTCATCCATTGTACTCTTAAGGGCCCTGGCACTTTTCCACTAACGAGAGTGGATCGTCTGCAGCTTATCTGAGGCTTTAACGCTGCGGGCGACATCAGCGAATCTCTCGCGCAACAACTTCAGGAATTCGGTGAGGGACGTGAACGAGGAGTACGCAACGGGATCGTCACTACAATTGGCAGCGCGAACTAGGGACCTTGCAAAACTGGCGGCCTCATCTCTCAGCGCGTGGATCGCAATTAAAACCTGCTGATCCGGGGAGACCTGTCGCAAGTGCACATAGGTCTTAACGTTGGCTTCCCAGTTGTCAAAGTTCTCTTCCCTTTTCCCACTGTAGGAATCAGGGAATTTGACCTTGACCGGTTCCCGGCGAGGAGGACGTGCTTCCTCCTCCTTGGGGGCTGCCGCCTTGACTCCCTCAATGGCGCCAACGCAGAACCGCTCAGTCTTGTCGAGGCGGTGGCCCACCTCAGTGCCTATAGCGCCTACCAACTCTCGAGCAAAGTCCCAGAATCCGAACTTTATTGAAAGCATAGCTATGTGTTGACTCCTACTAAAGTCATATTGCTCCGCCTGAATTCGTGCCAGGAGTGCAACATTTCGAGCTATGACTCGCATTTGGGCTGGGAGTTCAGTCTGGGCGGCTAGTTGCTCTTCTATCTTTTTTACCTCCTCTAATTCTTCTGCCGCCTCCGCTGCCGCGCCGACTCTCCTCTTCTTCTCCCTCATCACTGCCAACCTCCATTCCATTCTCTTCTCATCTTCCATTGCCTGCCGCTTCACAACATCTTTTTCTGCTTCCCAAGCTCTCATAGCGGCTTCCTGATCGTCCTTAGAGATATACATCGCCACTTTTTCTTCTTCGCCCAGGGATAAGTTGGCGACCCACTCTGAGATTCGCTTCTCCATCTCCTCATCCCTACTGCCACTGTACTGCCCCTTCTTCCTCTGCAGCGGCGTTTCATCTTCTTCCTCCTCTTCCACCTATTTCAATTTCGCTTCCTCTTCTTTCTGTATCCTCTCCTTCTCTCTGGCCATTTCTTCTTCTATCTTCTTCAATTTGGCCGCCTGCTCCTCCTTCAAGGCCTGCTTCTTGGCCTCCTTCTCCTTCCTCTCCTGGAAGATGGCGGCCATCTTCTCCTCCTCCTCCTTCGTATATGGCTTGGTGGAGGCACCACCCCGGGTATCTACTCTACACGTGAAGGTGTGCCAGAACCCCAGAGGAAAGAGGAGACGCCAGAGGGTCCCCCAGAGGGAGAACCCAACGAGCAACCCATACATCGGATAGTCGTCCATCGTGGTGGTAGGTGCACGATAATGTCCCACTCCTCACCACTTAGACCTACCCGGACACACTAACCTACTGTCTGACTCTCTAAGATCCACTACTCAACTAACAACTGATCAGGAGGCATTTAAGGAGATCCCCCAAACTCCGCAAGAATTCTTTAATGTCGCAGCCGTTCCGGCCTACTGTGCCACACTGAGCAGCCCGCCGGTCTGTACCGGTCCTTGGAGGGGTTCGTATCCCTCGGGACAGTCAAGTCGTCAGACACAGATCATCAGCCTTACTAGGTGCGGTAGGGGAGTGGTTCAACCAGGCCTCAACACTTAAAGATGGCCTTCGCTTCAGCCTACAGCTCGGAGTTCGGACCCTCTACACTGAACTTAGTAGACCTGCCGGACATTACCGGTCATTGGGATAGACGAGTTGTTTAACGAGCGCTCGCCGCTCATGCCCAGGTCTCGAGATGCCAGAGTAGAGATTATTCCTACTAAGTCCCGTGCAGGTTTGGCAGCAAGGCCGTATCCTTCATCCACAGAGTCCTAACACCTAGGACAGCAGAGACTCAATGCAGAAAGGAAAGACAGACAGACTCAAACTCAGCAAGTACTGTAGGGTGAGTGCACATCCACAGGGTAAGGGGATAGGCTAAGGGCTCAGCGAGATATCACCAGCTCCAGCTTGGTCAAAATCTTGGTCAGCAGCTCCGGTCAATGCCTTGGTCAACGCCTGTCTCTTATACACATCTAGATGTGTATAAGAGACAGCGTATATACGGAGGGCAGGTGCGGCTTGCATCGCTGCCTTCAACGTAGTGAACGCGCCACGGGCTGCGTCGTCGAACTCAAAGGGCACCTTCGGGGAGTGAAGTCTCGACAAAGGAGCGGCCACTTTCGAGTATGACTCGACGAATCGCTGATAATATCCARCCAAACCCATGAAAGAGCGTACATCCGTCGTGCAACGGGGTTCCGGCCAATCCACGATGGCTTGGATCTTGTCYGCTAAGGGACGAATGCCTTTCGGTGTGACAAAATGACCCAAGTACTCAAGCTCTTGCCTAGCGAATTCGCACTTGTCGAGATTCGCTTTGTACTTGGCTAGTCGCAAACGATCCAAAACAACGCGAAGGTGTACGATGTGCTCGCCCAATGTCCTACTGTAAACCAAGATGTCATCAAGGTAGATGAGGACGCTGCGATCGAGCAAGTCGCGAAACTCAATCGTCATCGCTACTTGGAAAGTTGCGGGGGCATTGGTGAGGCCAAAGGGCATGACAACCCACTCAAAATGCCCGTACCGTGTCTTGAACGTGGTCTTGTACCTGTCTTGAGGCTGGATTTCAATCTGGTGGTAACCTGACTTCAAGTCCAACTTCGAGAAGTACGTCGCGGCGCCTAACCGCTCAAGAAGATCATCAATCCGAGGGAGAGGGTCGGCGTTCTTTACGGTTTGTGCGTTAAGTTTCCGATAATCGATGCATAGCCGTAGATCTTTGTTCTTCTTCCGGACGAAGAGAACAGGGGCACCGTATGGCGAGCAACTAGGGCGAATCCAGCCCTTGTCGAGAAGGTCATCGAGTTGTGAGCGAAGCACCTCGAGTTCCTCTTCGCTCATGCGGTAGATACATCCACGCGGAGGGACGGCGCCAGCCTCGAGAGTGATCCCGTGACGTATGGGCCGATCCGGAACCATTCCGGTGGGAGCCTCGAAGACGTCTCTATACTCGTCCAAGAGGTGAGAAATGCGTGGGTCCGGCGGTGACGCGGCTGGTCTGTCCGACGAGGGGAGAGCATGCAAGAATACAAGGCCCATCTCCTCGACGTCATTCCGAGCTATGGCGTCGCGAATTCTCGCAACGGAAACCACGTGACAAGCAATCGAAGTGTGAGGGGTCACGACCGTACAGGGGACTAACACTCCGTTCAGATCACGGATGTGAACGGTTCGGTCATGGAAGTTCACCGGATGATCTGCACTACGCAACCAAGACATGCCTAGAATCATGTCGAACTTGGTGTCGAGGATGTCAAAAGACACCTGCTCGCACGCAAGTGGCGCAAAGTATACCGGAACGCCGTCGACACATCGGTCAATTGACTTTTGCGTGCGGCCGTCCGCGAGTGTAACTTGCGTAGGTTGCGTCTTCCTTCGAACCCGGGGGCCAAGACCTGCGCGGGCCATAAAGGCTTGGCTCATAAGGTTGCGAGACGCTCCGCAATCAATCAAGGCACTACAGGTTGCCTTTCCGATTTGAATGCGGATATAGAGCAAAGGCACGTCGGTTTCGGCGTACCTTTGGGTGGCGTACTCGCGGTCAATCTTCGCAAGATAGGAGCGGAGATCGACAACCGCTAATCCGTCGTCCGTCAACGTTGCTGGTACTGTAGTGTGCAAATAGGAACGTAGAGTTGCCATCAAGGCGTTGAAATGCGGCCTTGGCAAGGTTCCGGTCGAGGGAAGAGGCATCCAAGCGAAGTCCTCTCTCGTGAGCGGGTCRAGCTCCTCAAGTCTTGACCACGCCGTCGAGTCCTCGGAAATCAGTGGCGAACTGACCGGATCGCTTGTCGACGGTGGACAGGCTGCGCATACGCTAGCTAAATGCACGTGGCTTGGCTGGTCTAATGGTGGTACCAGCTGGGCGGCATAATCCTCGTACGTAGCACGAGAATCAGCGACTAACGCATGCTCCCCGGTAGTGACATCGATTGCTAGCAAGGCAACCGGTTCCGGCGGAGTGAGGAGAGACGTTGCCCCTCTCCTTGCGGAACTCAGTTTCCTGAGTTTGTTGGACGGAGTACGCGTGCCTTGGCCTTTTCGGGGCATTGTGCAGTCAAGTGTGTGACTCCATTGCACCAAAGGCAATATCTATACTTTTGACGAAGTTCATAGACTTCCTTGGTGATGTTGTAGGCCGTCCATGGCTGCTGCCCAGTTCCCGTCGATGCCGTCTCTTGTGTCGCCTTGGGTTTCCGGACCCTCTTGGGACGCTTCAGCGGGAGCGCTGCTACACTTCCTCCATCACTCGAGGATGCTGCTGCAGCGTGGAGATCGTTTGTTTCTTCCGAAATCATGGCATTGTTATGTGTCGGACGTTGATAGCCATGCTTAGCCACATAATGCGGCTGGGATTGTTTCTCGTTAGCGGCCTTGTCGTCCGTTTGGATGACCAGGTTTGCGCGATCCAGGATAGCSTRGAACGAGGTATAGTCGTACTCGTTACCGAGTGCCGACCGCAATCCTGCGCACGATCGCGAGAAGAACTCGGATTGTTGATTAGGAAAAGTCAAATCGAAGCCTGGCGTGGTCACTATCTTCTGCCACTTGGTTGTCCAGTCTCGAGTTGGCATACTTCCTTGAGAGCAGGTGTACACCTCGTTCATGGCCGCCTTCACGACATTGCGGACCATGAACCGGGTGAACCACAGCTTCTCGAAATCCTTCCACGTAATGTGCGTGTGAAGTTCGGCGATGGTGCATGTGTGGGTAGCCGCCAGATGGTTCATCCATGCCTGCGCTCCTCCAATCAGCTGTAAGTATAATGCCTTCATCAGATAGTCGTCCGGGACAGTGCGGCATGATGCTTCCGTGAGGAAACGTTGCCACCATGCCAAAGCGTCCGTCTTGTTGTGGTCGTCAAACTTGCTGATGTCGAAGTGCGGCATCTTGTAGTTCTTCGTAGTGGCGTCCGGTTTCGTCTGCAGCTTGGTGATGTCCGTCTTGATGGCGGCCACAGTGCTACTGATCGTGTCCGGCCCATTGAAAACACCTATGTCGCTGATGAGATTGACGACATGATCGATGCGCCCATTGAGCTGCTTCGTTGTGTCTGTCATATCTGGCGTGCAGCCTGGCGCTGCTTGGGGAGGCCTTGCCTCCAAGGTAGCAATGCGTGCATCCAGCTGTTTCAACTGGTTGTCCGCGACCTTGACAGCTGCTGCAAGTATCTTCACGTTGTGGCTCAGATCGTGCTGCAGCTGCAGAGTGGACCGGGAATGCAGCTCCCCCATGGAGCTGTTCCAAATGACGGCGCGCATTGTATGGAGTAGAATATCTGCCAGGTCGTGCCTCTCTTGCTGTACTGTTGTCGTCTCGCTGCCGAGGTCTCTTATTCTACTCAATTTTTTCTTAATGAATGAAAAGAGCTGAAAAATACAAAGTGGGAACTGCACGTTCTGTGAACCGGGTCCAGACCCCATTTTCTAGAACAAGGTTTTCCTAAATTGTTAGTATTGTGTACTAAATTTCTCGCATTTCATGACTAGTGACATCTATCATTTGTGTCTTTTCCTATGTGGGTGGATCTCGTGGTTTTCACATGTTTTTTTTCTATTCTTTTGGATGAATGATTGAATGTGTGGATTGTACCTCCCATTTCTTTTTTCGCAATATGCTTATGTTGAAAGGATCTCGTGTCTCAGTCATGTTCTGAGTCCCGATCCCAGAGTCCGAATGATCCCAGTCCCAAGCACACGAGCTGAACCAGCAGGCCCAGCGGTTGAAATGCCGATTTAGGCCGGGTAGGTCATTAGAAGTCCTACGTTGTTAGAAGTCCAGTAGGCTGGGTACCCTACGGCAAAAGTCCAAAGCCTCGGTCCAATTTTGGCAGCAGCATCCAAGGCAGCTGTTGCAGAAGTGCTGCTGTGCACTTGTGTGGCAGTGGAGGTGACTGGTGCAATGCACCTCTTAGTTCAACACCACTGAATGCACATATTCACATCTCATGCATATATGAGATCACACGAAGTTCACACTGAAGACCAGAGAGGTTGAGACCAGATAACGCAGCTTATGAATTCCAACAAGTTATACAAGAGCAAAAATAGTTCCGAGTCACCAGCGCACAACAGCGCATGTCATAGGTAACCAAACATCCAACATAATCACCCAGGTATCTTCTTCCTCTCTGCTCCTCTCTCTGTTGTTTCACCCCTCCTTCCTGGTCTTCTCGCTAGCTTATGACCTCGCTGTATCTTCTCTCCCTACATGCACACACACACTAACTGCTACTCAAAGATCTACTCTGAATACACCCACAGTCAACTCTACTAATCCCTCTGAAGTCTACTACTAACTGCTAACAATAACACCCTGCGCTGGCGCAGCTATGGCTGCCTTCACCATGCCAGCACTGTCTTCTTCCTCTCTCTCACTCTTAGCGCAGCACTCTGGCTTCAGCGCTCTGCCCTTCACATCAGCGCACAAGTGCACCAGCACTTCCACACTTCTTGCGAATGAGCAATCTGCCCGAATGGTAGGCTGCCCAGTTCTTTTGTAGTCTTGGAATGCTCTTCAACTCGTGCCAGCCTCTGCTTTCTGGGATCTGGCTGGTTCCGGTACCACATTCCCACGGCCTGTTTGCTTCTGAATGTCAAGGCCTGGAACCTTCCCGAATTTCCTTTGGTCTGCTGCTGCTTGGGCCTTTGAGTTATGACTTTTCACTTGTGAACATGACTTGTGACTGTGGACTGTGACTCCTGCCTCTGGAACACGACTTTTGCCTGTGGAACTACCCTTTTACTCGTGAGACGTGACTGCTGCCTTTGAGACATGACTCTTGCTTCTGAATCTGCCTTTTTCACTCGTGGGATGTGACTCTTCGGAATTTCTTTTTATTATGAGACGTGACTCTTGTCCCTGAGATGTGACTGTTTGCTGGGTGCCTGATGGACCAGACTGCTGAGGCACCCGACTGTGACTTTTCTGAGTTTGACGAACTCGGCCTTTTCTTGACCAGGGCATCCGACCCTGAGACCCGGATTTGGGGTCTGAATCGTGGAAGGCCTTTCACTGGTCGGGCGTATCGAATCTGGGCTGCTACGGCGCCATAGCCAGGACTAGCTAGGGAGAGGGAAGACACCAGGGCCGTTAGTGTTGAGAGCTGAGTGCATTCTGTGTGTGTGTGTGTGTGTGTGTGTGTGTGTGTTGTGTGTGTGTGTGTGTGTGTGTGTGTGTGNGAGAGAGAGAGAGAGAGAGAGAGAGAGAGAGAGAGAGAGAGAGAGAGAGAGAGAGAGCTTGGGCGGCTATAGCCACATGAACTTTTGAGTTAGGAGACTTGCAACAATTTTGCATTTTGGAAAAATATATCTTCACGTTTCGGCTGATGTGGTTCCCATACACACGCGAGATGGCAAAGAAGACTTGGAGAGGAAAATCCACGCTTAACCAGACTGAAGATGCACAGCGGAATGCAAACAAAAATTGATGTAAAGAAACAGATGTCCCCGAGAGAGACCCGCGACCGTGCCGCCGGTAAGCGCACGACTGCGCCAACATGCCCGACCCGGGCTTCTCGAAACGACGCAACTCCACCATCGCGCGACCACTCACGAAGCCGCCATCGCGCGGCCACTCGCGAGGCAACTCGAGCGCCAGCCATCGCGTAGCCTAGCGCGGAGGAGAGCATCGCGACCAGAATTATGGCGAAGAAATCAAGGGAGTGAAGGTGTGAGGGAGTGAAAGAGGAAGAACGAGAGGGAAAGAATGGGGGGATGGAGAGAGGGATGAGAAAGGAGGCAGGGGGAGAGAGATAGTGTCAGGAAGAGAAAAGAGAGAGTGAGAGAGAGAGAAAGAGAGAGCGAAGAGAGAAAGAGAGGGAAAGAGAAAAGGATTGAGAAAGAGAAAGTGAGAATGTGAGAGAGAGAGAAGGAGAGAAGAAGTGAGAGAGAGAGAGAGAAAGAGAAAGAGAAAGAAAGAGAGACAAAGAGTTATTTCATCACAATAAGGAGCTGCAGATCCAAGAAAAAGAAGGCGAAACGAGCAAAGAAAGTCTCCAAAGCAGCCGTCATCACCAAGCGGCTTCCTTCAAGGAATTCGACCGTAAAAGGAGTCCCAAGACATCGACTTTCAAGCTTCAACGGAATTTTTATGAGTGAAGTTCCACACTAACTCCCCTCCATTTGGCCCCCCACCGTTCTAGATCTCCCCTTCCTCCCACGACAACTCCTTGCCAAGTCCCCTCGCTAGCCTTACGACCGGTAGCCAACAACGACACCATCTAATTACAGCCCGTCATCCCAACCCTGACTCACCCTTCCCGTCTACAATACGGATCCGATCCCGACTCTTTTCCACCCCGACTCCATCTTAACCCCAACCCATTCTCCACCCTGGCCCCATCCCAATCCTGACTCGACCATTCCCCCCTCCCCCCTTCCTCCTACTCCATCCCAATTCTGATCTGATCCCCTCCCCGATCCCCTTCCCATCTCAACCTTCACCTCAACTCAAGTTCTCTCCCACCATCGACCCCACCGTGATTGGATCCCTGTCCCCGGCTCCCAAGCTACCCCGCTCCCGACCCAGACACACACCAATTCCATCCTAATTCCGATCCCAGTCCATCCTCGACCCATACCCGACCCTAATCCCAACCCACATCAATCTCGCTCGATCCCGACCCGCCCCGATCCTAACCTGCTTCACCACCCGTGCTCACTTTCCCCCCACCACGACTCATTCTGACCCAGACATACCTCGACTCCCACCCCCCTTAAGCTAGCGCTACTGAACAAAACAAAATTGGATGATTGGACAGGGCCTCAATTTCCGGGAAAAAACTTCTAGAATCAATTGTAGATTGAACCGTACCCCAAACCAACACAGGTGAACAAAGTAGAGCATACTAAGGCGCTTGTTTCGCCCTCGATCCCGACCGCCTGCGGCCCCCAATCCACCTCGACCCCCGCTCACCCGTTCCTCCCCCTCCCCGATCCCTACCCACTTCGACTCCCCCCCAAACTCGATCCCAGCCCATCCCGACTCCTATCCGATCCCACTTCAAACCCACTCCCAACCGATCCCGATCCATTTCGATCACGACGCATCTTGACTCCCATCCGCTCCTACCTCGCCCCCGGCCCTGACCTGCCGCGACCTCAATCTACCTTAATTCCCACCCGCACTTGCTTCCCCACCCGATCCCGGCCCACTTCATTCCCCCCCGAACCTGATCCCAACCCATCCC